CCCGTCATCTGCAATTGGCGGGCCACGAGTTCACTCGCTTGTTTGAACGCTTACGGACGGTCGAGTGCCGGCCGAATTCTCACGGTCGACGCTCAACTAATCTGTAAGCAAAATTGACATGGAAAGTGGGACTTCAACTGTCGGATTTACTGATGATCGAGAAGTACACGTTCCTACAATTCGTAGTTGTTTGGATGTTAATTTTCTTCAGTTATCCCATCGATTTATCCCTGATCCTGGGAGTATCCCATGACTTACGTCGGTGTTGCGAGCTAAGGACAATCGATGTCGCGAGCTAAGGACAATCGATGTTGCGATTCTGTAAACGTGCAGTGTGACTTCCATGAAATATGGAAATGGACACTATAAGTCCCTCACTTTTGTGGCCTGAAGAAGGAAGATAGAATTCTTTTTCTTCTCTCGCGTTCTCCTTGTGAAACCTAACACGCACACAAACGCGAGTGGGACATCTGGTCCACAAACGTCCAAACAAGAGGCAAATTTTTTTTTCAGAAGGTGTGACTCTGAAAAAGAGAATTCTCAGTGACGGTTTTAACACAATTAGACCTGAGACAGGCTATGTGAAATCTTTGAAATGATATGAAAAAGTAAGATCTAAGAAATTGAAGCGATAAAGAAGTTTGAACCAAGTAAAGCAACTGTAAACGAATCATCACTAAGTTAAACACTATATTGTACAATAAGTTAATACCTAACCACAGCTGCGGAACAGTCCGATATAGAGTAAACAGTGGACATTACGCGCGGACACTAGCACTGCAAACTATATTAGTCTCAGATAAAATGAACTGGTAATCTGAAACCGACACTACACAACGCTGAACACATGTGTTCAGGTGGGAGGAGTGCAGTAATCGATGAATATACACAATCTTCATGAATCTTGCGTAATTAAACTTGAACACACTGAATTTATGGACTGTATACGATTAAAGATACCCCAAATCCTCACCACTTATACTGAACGCCTTCCTGGTTTTCTGCTAAAAAATTAAAGATCCCGATGGTACTCAAAATGACGGTCTTCAATTTGACACAACCCTCTTACACCAGATTTTGCACCAGTTGGAGATATATCTTAAACTATCACATCACATGGATGCCATTTCTGCAGAAAATTACTTGATGGAGCATGTGAAACCAAAAACACTCTGTGTATTTTATTCCAGAAATCCAACACTTTTCATATTTCACTAGAGACCCGAAGTATATGTAACCCAACTTCACCCATGTGTTCCAATACTGCAACCTAGAAACTTAGCAGTAACATACAACATGTCAAACATGACTAACTACTCAAAAATGTTACCTTGCCTACCAAATTGCACCATATTCTTGACATGATAAAAAATGACGCAAGAGAAGCTACTAAGCTACTTTAGCCGTTTGCAAATTTGCAAAAAGCTAACCATGGGAGTTGTGACTATGGAAGACAATATCGTGTCTATTCTCATATCAAAGCTCTATGAAGATTCTAATAATAGTGGCATTGTCGTTTTATCATCACCTTCATCGTCAATGGTAGTATCGTTTATTCTGCAAGTCACGAACAAACAAAAGCAGACATCTTGGATTCGTCCATACTTCCTAGTTGTACCATGATACAACTGACATGCTTGCGTTGCGTGCAAATCGTGTTTGAAGATATATTCAAGTACATCGACGACGTCGAACCTTGTTCTTCATTTGAAAAACAATAAGTGTTACATCAGTGCAACTAGTGTTACATCAGATTGTTGAAAAGTTGTTTTGTCATAGATGAATCCTTTGTGATTGCGCTCTATATTTATAACGTCGATTGATTTTAACACTAGAGTTTAGAGAGAATCTCACTCGGAAATAGAAACGTAAACTCTAAAAATGAGAGATACCAACAATGGTTCTCTTTTCTGTTATATAGCTATCACCAACAAGTACAAGGAGATAAAATATAATCTCCACCATCCATTCCACTCATAACAGATGAATGACATGGCGAATAATCCGTAACAAGCACACGGATCGCTGACGTGGCGCTTCCAACTAACACACTCAATCCTTATCTACAAGCACACGGATTGCTGACATGACACTATCAATTAACACATCCACTTTGTATCTACCAAGTACGCGGATCGCTGACGTGGCATCTATGACTAGTGCACACTAAAATATCCATATCAATATTTAGAGTAACCTCTACTGTAGTTCTAACTAACTAAAGATGGTTACATTGATCTTCCACAACGGTGTTTATTTTGACATTGTTAATAGCAGTAGATGTACACACAAAGATTTTTGTTACAACAACATACAATGCTAATGAAATGATTCGTTTATTTAGCATCAACGAGACAAATTGAACAACAAGTTTGGAGTAAATTGGGACGATATATGATGTCCTTGCTATGTGTGTCATCTCATACATCCTACACCAAGCGACAATAACCCAATCATTAAAGTCAAAGTAGATAAACTTTGTTAAATGCTCAAGATGATTCGCTTATCATCTCGAGTGGAAGCTGACTTCAAGAAGATCCAAGTTTTTTTAGAGGTGCGATAACAATATAGAAGTTCATAGGCTTGATGTTAAGAACGGCTGGATATCATGTTCATAATGATTGATTTTCATTACAAATCAACGGAAAATTTTCAATCCTTGTCAAACATGTTCAAGCACTATGGTAAGATTGTAATTTTGAGCTCAATTGAATACAGTGCAGTGAAGTATTTCAAATACTTTTTTGCTACAGATGATCATCCTATCTAGCGGACGACACACAATGTTATTTCATCAATATCTGATATATGAATTGATCAAGACGCATTGCCAAAAAATACATTAATGATATGTTGAGTACCGATTTCATCGCACTGAAGTCAAAGGAGGTAGCAAAAGCGTTGGTGACAATGCTAGAAAAATATTATGAGCAATTGATTGGCCCACTATCAATGGTTGCACTAGCCATTGATAGGGCAGTTTCAAAAACCGATGAAAAAATAGACTCTTTGAAAAAATAGACTCTTTGACAACATCTATTCTGTAGCAATATGGTATCGAGATGACACATGAACATATTGCGTCTTTCACGTTTAATAATAGCATCTGAAGCATGCTTATTGCTTGTGTAGATCACAAGCTCTGGTGTCTGAATTGAACATATGAGAAAATCATGTTTCGAATAAGATCATGGATTATTTGCATTTCACAAAGATGGACAATGAATCATGCGACGATGTAGTCGTGTGGTGAACAAGAATTGGCCTTAAACGTTTTTTCGCGATTGACACTCTTGCAATCGACACGGTAATGTGCATGTAGTCTTTGATGACGTCCGAATCTGCATTTTTAGATATCCGTACTGTTGTCACCTCCAACTGCTCCCGCTTGTGTAATAACTTCATTGAGACTATCATGAATCTTTGATCATGAAAGTGCCTTATAATGATATTAATAAAAAAGATCTGTAAACTGATAAGTTGACAGTTAGCCGGCTAACGAAAAATATTAGCCGCTTTTATTAGTGCTTTATGAAACTATCGAATTAAGATAGCATCATATGTCAATTATCCACATTTAGATTGTACATATCCTTCTCTCAACCCAGCGGTCAGTTTGCTTGATGACCTTTCTGACAATCAAAAATTAGTGACCAGTGTGCCTAATACAATGTCATGTTCTTCCTTTGCTTTACATGCCAGGAAAAATAAAACTTGCTTCACAGTACTTTGTTGGTAATCTGATCTCTTATTCACGAAAAATCTAGAAACCAACTAAAATTGATGATTGTTCAGGCTAAGGATGAGACTGCTTCAGATGAACTCCAAAAAACACAAAAAATAATAATTCAAATGACATCAAATTCAGAAGCATATTATTATTTTATTCAACTTACTCGACTCACGATTTTACACTGAACGCTCTCAAGGCCGTGTGGCAAAATTAAAAACTTCTTTCCGCAAAAGAGATGATGCTCTAATTGCTCGCATCCTCAATCTAAAATCCTAATCTCAAACCTCATGGAACCAAACACTGCAATTGTGTTTGGATTTGAAGTAAGACTAAATTGAGTCTTACTTCAAATTGTGTATACTTTGAAGTAAGACTCAATTTCTGGAGAAAACATTCGTACACAACGGTGACACTTTTTATTACGTGCACGTCGCGATTGTAGACATGCAGGTTGAAAATATGATCGTGCTCCCGCAGACAGCCATAATAGTAGTGGCTTTGGCTACAAACGCTAGACAGTGTCGCTCCTGGTTACTATCTTCGAAATTTAATCGGTAAAATCGATTTAGTTACCAAAATTGTGAAGAATGTCTAATGGCCCTTCCTCTTTCATTGCGTTTCTCAGAACACCACGCCTTAAGCTTACTACAAAAATGCGTATCCACCTGTCTTTGCCTTGGCCAGAATTCCTTCTTGACTTTAGTCTCGTGTTTGAGTTCTTCCCGGTACAAGTCGGTGATAAACAGCCACTAGTGACTTTAGTTTATCAGCGTCATTCGCCTTTAATCAGTGAAAACAAGCCACTACTCTTGAAGAAAATGGTACTGAAGTAGCATCTCGTTACAATAGCAATAATCTATTACTGTCCTACGGACTAAATGCTTACTTTCGCTGTTAGGCAGACATAATGCTCATGCGAAGACCGTATTAATAGTCTCGGCTCTTGTGTATCGTCGGAGCGAGCAGCACTCTTGTTTATCTAGAGACGAGTGCTGCTCAATATAAGAGACCTCTATAACAGAAATACTTCGCCTACACCGCAACAAAAGTAGAAACAAGCGAAATCAAATGCAACACAACATATCTATCACTCAAGAGAAAAGAAGTGACAAGAGAAACATGAAGTCAGTCCACGTTTGGCTATATACCAACTGAAGCCATAGACGGGAAAGTCGCAAACACCTGGCTTCGGGTTAGACGTCGCATTGGATGGTCTGTTTACTATTGAATCAAATTGGACAGCTATTTCACCATACCATGCGTGGCCGCAAAAGCGGAGTGCTTCGTCTCGCTGTTTGTTACCAGCTTGGAAGAGCTTTTTTTTTACTGAAAAGAATGAAACAATGTTTCTTCTCTCTCACAGACCTGAGAGCTCGATTTGACGGACTGACTGACCTGATCTACTCTCTCTCTTTTACTTTACAAAACAACAGGGACCGCTGGGCTGCCATTCACACCCAAAAAGTAGCAGTTCTACTTACCACAGTGTCTTGAGGGTGGCCACCGTGGAGTACCACAAAAATTTGAGCCAACCGAGACAATGTTGGTAATGGCTACCTAGCAGGCAAGGAGAAAAATATACAACCCCAATTTTGAGGAAAAGAATGTGCCTTGTCTACAATCCTTCGCTTCACTTTGTACACGTGCCTCACCGCCGTCGCTTAAGGAAAAATTCATAGTCACAGTGTTTGAACTTGCTAGCTGAGCCACTACTACTAAAACTACTGTCTGTTGACCTCGACACCACGTCGTGTGGTATTCCCCTTGCCATCAGTGAAGCAACAACCTTCAAAGACCGTATTCGATCATCCAAACATTGTGCCAAGTTTCCGATGGGTAGCCTATCCATGTTTTTATTGGCCTCCTTGCAATGGCTTCTCAATAACAACCAAGGCTCAGCCTGCCACCAAAGATAATTATATTAACTTCTTTCCCGACACTGAGGTCAAACTGCTGAAACTTGGACAACATGCCGATATAGCAGACGTAAACAACGCGCAGTTCCTTACACAGCAGCAATTCCATGTAATTTCAGCACAGAGAATCAATCACAGTAGTTGATCTCAGGTATTAACAACAATACCGAAACGTTAAAGGTCCGTGATTCACCAACCTGAAGATTGTAGCACTCCAAACCGACTACTGGCAATGAGACAGCGTCGTCATTCAGTTCCTCGCAACCACCACCCATTGGACCAAACGAGCTAGCAGTGGGCGTTAAATGGTTAAATGAGTGGTAAGTCAAGAACACTGCTCGCAGAGGTCCTTCCGGAATTCGGTATATAGGGTACCAAGCAACAGCATACCTGTAAAAACGGCACACAAAATAAGCCTAGTCAAACTTGTTTCACCCTTCAAGAGAAATGCAGGATAGGGATGTTTCTGTTTTCAGTGTCCACTCTACTTTTCCAGATCACACGCAATAAAACACCTCCCACTGACTCTTACAGAACTGTAGTGGGATTCCTCACTCACCATGAAGCTGGGTGAAGATCACCCAAGCATAAGTCGTCCAGTGCGGTTGGATCACCAACGCTGTGAGAGTTCAAACTATTCACGCCCTTCAATAGATCTTTCACTCTGAAGAAGTTGCAACCTTAATTAGTGAGTACAGTGTATATTCCCTCTACAGCAGCCATAAGTTAAGACCAGGGAATAACCCTGAGAATTAATGTAGTTCGGTTCACAGCGTTAGCAAAGTTCTATTTTCAACAAACATCCGCGTGCTTAAACTGAAAATAAAACATAGCCGCCAAACCAAGTGCGGAGTTCCAGTGTAATGTACTTGAAGAGGGGCAGAGTCAGTTCAAAAACGGAACCAAAGGCAAGGTCCTTACGAGATACCTTTGTGGATCTTCGGTACACTATTTCATTGTGACCTATTCTAAATTCCTACTCCGTACATTGTTCACACAGGAGTTACATCTCAGTGTGCAAAGTAAAGTGACAGACAACGGCCGTGACGAAGATGAACAGAAAAGAAAAAAAAACCTTTTCAGTAAGAAACGATTGTGCTAGACGACTATTCGAACTTACTTTGGAAATAATGGTTGGCGTACTTGAGGCTGGTCCGCTTCAAAAAACTCAAACAGGAGACGTGCATCCAGATTGTGAGCATCTTTAGCAGACATGTCAGTAAAAGGCCCGTTGGCTTGTTCAGTGACAGAACCTTCAGGCCGTTGATGATAAATTAATTCATCAGCTCTTCCTTCACTCGGGAAAAGCGTCGCTAACACGTCGTTTCCTGGGAAAGGTTTTGGTTGACAACTAGGAACCGAATCTAATTTCAAACTTGTTCGAGCGCATCCGTTCAAATCTTTGGATAGGTTATCGGATTGCGATGAGTAACCAAAAAGCTGGATCCCTGACAAATATGGCACGAAGTAGGCCAGAAACTGCTCCTGCTCTCCTCCGTCTCTTAGGCCTCTCTGCGGATCCAAGTCCCTAACTTCAACACCATAGTAACTGGGCTCCTCGTACCACTGCCAAAGAGAATTCATAGAAGTGCCGGCATATCTACATCTGCTGCATGTGGTGTTATCCTCATGAGCCTCTGTGAGGCATGCCTCCATGGACCTCTGAACACCTTCGCAACTACTGCCGCACGGACTACCTTTCTCTTGTACGCCTCTCCTGTTGCAATTAGTACCTGAAACCGGAATGAAAGAGGGAGCCACAGCCCTGAGCACTTTCTCAAACTCTGCCAAGGGACTGCCCAGCATTCCGGCAACTCCGTCTGAAACTTGTCGTTGACTGCATGAAATCTGAACTGCATCGAGAACTGATCTAACAACTCTTCTCGTCTCTTTCTCTGCAGGGGAAGGCTCACTTCTGACAGCAACCACTGCACTTGAATCCCTACGTGCAGTAGGATCTCTTTTCGCATAACTTTTTCTCTCACCAGAAACTGAAACTTTCACGACCTCAGGTTTTGGTACCACGCTGTTTTGTTGGCCACCAGCCTCAGAATCCATTAGTGTAGCCAATGTATCGGCTATCTTTTCACGGGGTAAGAGGCTCCGAAGATTGGCCAGCTCTCCATGACTACACGATGCCTCACTCGAAACAGCAGATTCCTTGGGCTCCGGAACTTGTTCCACTACACTTGACTTCTTGGTACTAAGAGACTGATGCAACCGCCTGGAGGATTTAGACGGTGATAAGCTACAAGGAACCCCGTCTGCCCTGGATTCTTCTTCGCTAATTCCGCTTTTCTTGCAGCTAGCAGACTCTGCATAATTCTCCTTGGTTTCTCTATTGCTAGTGGTCACAGGGATTGGAGCAGAGAGGCTGCTTGATGTCTTCACCTGCCCATTAGATCCCTTCACAACTCCACCGGTCTTATGCTCAACTGGCACCCACTTTTGAGCACAATGGATGGTGCGCTCCCGATCTCCCAGAGTTTTCTCCCTCGGGGCCGACCTTTCTTGATCTCCATTAGATTTCCGACCTTTCCACGATGTCAGTCTCTGAGCTAACTCATCGGCACCTGGCCTAGCTTCTCCTAGCTGGCCCACGGTCGAAGAATTACTCGTTTGTGGCCTGAGAGAAATTTGTGGCACCACCTGCTCAATCTGTCCTACTGAGCCTGATCTGGTTGACTGTTGCACTCCCACTTGCATAGATTTCATTGACTTGTACTGGTTGAATTCTCCAGAATCAGTATAATTCTCCTCAAAAACATGGGGTGTGGAAGGGGCTGAATACGATCTGGTGTGACTTATCATTTGCTGGTCAGGATTTTGCCCTCTAGAGTACATGCCATTCCTAGTTGCTTGCTTGACACAGTGTTGTCCCTTCGAAGAACCAGCCTGCTGGGAGGCTTCGGACAAAATTTTCTGAGAAGTCAGGCGTTGTTCATCCCAGGATATTTTCTTCTGCCATGCACCTTTCGAAGACTCTGGCCCATGTGCACCTGCAGAGGCCAGGACATCTCTGGCTCGGCGAGTGAAGTTGGAATTTGACAAATCCGTATGATCAAGAGACAAGTCACCGTTACTTGATTTTCCAACCTTCAAAAAAGTATCCTGTGTCATCACACCTTGCTCAAACGAATCACAATCCAAGTTAGATTCCCTATCGTGAGGGCTTTCATGCGACATACTGCCATTTACGTGAACGGAGGAAACTCGAGCTTTATATTCAGCTCTATTATTGGAATTGACTTCATCTGACCCCGTTCTGCGATGATTCCTGTGAGTACCAAAAGATTCTGCCAGCTGCTCCAACTCAACACTCTCCTCCCCTTCGACGGATTTTTGAACTTTTTGCCAAAAAGTATGATTATTCTCCTTACCACCCCCACTCGATGTAGCAAGAGCACCATGATTACTGCTGATCCCATTGGGGAGTTGATCTCCAGCTCCGATGGTGACTTTTCTGGCACTTCGACTGTCCAGAGAGCTTGCTCCTTTCTTTCTTTGCACGGATTCGCTTGTTATTTCACCGTTGCTTCCTGCTTGAAATCTATGCCTATGTCTCTCGTCACTATCTCCTTCCTTTCTTCCATTTCCACCATCGTTTTCTGCAGGACGACCATCCCAGCCTCCTCCACTATTACCCCCACCTCCGCGATTTCCATTGCCACCCCCGGAGCCGCCGCCACCGCCACTACCACTCGTGCCACTGCTACCAGGTCCAGCCCCTTGACCACTACCACCGGATCCTTGACCACTTTCCCCATGATATCCACTTGTGCCTCTTCGTTCATCTGATCCTCTTCCATAACCTCTATTACTACTGCCTTCTGCACCGCCCCGCCCATTCCTACCCCCAGTGCCACCACTATTGTAGCCTCCCCTGGCACTGACCTTCGAATCGGAGTAGCTAAACTGCTCTTGTGGATCACTAAGACTCTCAAGGTTTCCTGCCAACTCCCTCAGAGGGAAATGTGATCCTCCATATTTGCAGATTGAGATGGTAGGATCTTCCAACACCCCGTCAACAGACACAAAATCAACGACGTCGATGATATGTTCGGAGGGCTGTGATATGCTGAATTTCTGCGAGAAGCCATTTGATGTCGACATGTAACCATGATCTGGACTGGCATTTAGTGCACACGGATCTCTGAAGTCACCTGACATCCCACATTCTGTACTGGGGCGAGCAAGGCACAATCCGTCCTTGTCCATCCGAGAAACATACTCTGCATATGGAACCTGTTCCTCTCCGATTTCTGTGGAATTAAAGAGCATATCAAGCCTCTCTGGAGGTTCACTCCTAAAGGAGCTACCAATCTGCTTCGAAGACCCTTCCATAGGACCATCTGAGCATTCTGGAATCAGGGTTTCAAACCCGTCCTCTAAAGCTTCCGAGACATTTACTGAAGCAACACCATCTGCACAATGGCCGCAAGGTGGACGATGAGAGGGCATCTCCCCAGGTCCTCCCTGTCTCCCTGAGACACACTCCTGTCTGTCAGTTTCCTTTGTATCTGTCACGGAATGAGTAACCCTTTGATGTGATGGTCGCTTGTCGACCGATCCCTCTGATATGCCATGATTACAGGCATGAACCTTGGAACCTTTCGTGACAACAGTTTTGGTGTCAAAAGGAACGCCACCACCTCCGACAGCCGGCATAGACTCTCCACCCTGGATAGTAACGATATTTCCGTCCACGGTATTTCTACCACTCCGTCTCCCTTTTCTCTTCTTCTTCTTCTTTGCACTCTTTCCCGCTGGTTCATCCACAGTCTGTGAACTGTCTACGCGTATCTCTCTCAAGTCACAATCCATCTCTTCAACATTTCCCTCTCCGGCACTACGTTCGGTTGGTGAGCCTTGGCTTGGTAAAGCAGCCTCTGGTGAAAGCGAGACTTTACGCTCACTGTCAATTATAGAAGTCGATACGTTTCCACCGAGATTACAAGAAGTCACAGGCATAGACTCCATAACAGTCCTGTGCTTGTGCGAAAACATCTCACCATTGGAAGAAGTCGTGGTACAGGATGACAAATTGAACCCATTACTGTCGGGCTTCAGTCCAGCTTTACCTATACCACGCGTTTCCTCAAAAGTAGACTGCACTCTCGGGATATGTGGCGCCACCTGCTCCAATCTACTCGGAGAACCCACAGGAGGAACTTGGATGACTGCTAAGACAAAGTACCTGGTTGATTGTGATCAATGTGAGAGTTTTGATGGAAGGAGCAAACACACAACAGGCTCGCAATCTGACTGCAAGTCTGCACTCTTCAAAGCTCTGAGGAAGTCCACCAACAAGACTGCTGAACAACAATGCTGCTTCGCACAAGGTTCCGCAAGTAAGAGCTTAGTATAAGGTACGGTGCCCTTACTTGACTTGCCGTGGAGGATCCTTGTTGGGAACAATAATAGTAACTTCAGAACCCTGCAAGAGTCAAGTACATTGCTTCAAGTCGGGGACTGATAGGTTGTCATATAAGTCAGTGTAGGTAGGAACCTGTTAGTTCTCGACGAACAGATCCTCACATTTAATATTACCCCAAAACAAGCACAGATGTGAAAAGAAAACCGCAAAACAGAGGAACACATCTACAGTGTGTTCCTCTGGCATAATGTCTTCGTAATCTCCGAGACCGATCTGATCTAGAAGATGCATGCATCCCAATTATGCAGAGTGAGCCAAGTAAAGGTGGAACAATTAACAAAATGCTTGAGTGAATGAACTGGAACTCGAGCCGGATTGAAACCGCACTGGGCCTTACTACGAGATAAGCATAGAGTTTGCAGGGCACTACATCCTTCTTGAAAAATCTCAAAGACGGGTCAAGCAGCCACCTAAGTAATATTATACTGCAAGAACTGCTATAAAGTGAAAAACCATCCGATATATCTACGCACTGGACCTTTACGTTCATATTTCTCCAGAGGTCTCAAAAGACAGGGAACAAGTAACGACGTAGAAACGAAATTACTTTCAGGTTTCTAACTAGTGTCATGCCTTCAGTCCAAGTATTGGATTTGAAAAGCCTGGCAAAAAAGGAAACGTTGACACATCTATGGGTGTAGCACGTGTGCTATTTCTCCAAAGGTTTACTGAACTTACCTTCCCGCAGCGTATATATTGGTTGTCATGAAGCTCACTCCCATGACAGCCAGTCAGTGACCGACCAATCTCCACGGGCGCATTGAATTCTCTACCCTCCACTCCCTTTTCAACAGATTGAGTACTCAGTCCCAGACGACGCATCTGATGCCCCTGCCTATACTTCGCCTGTCCAAAGCCCCCGTTTTACTGAAGCTAAGTGAAAATACATGCCAATGCAAGTAAACTACAGTGCAAAACTCACAGAACAACAGTCCAACTGATTTCACGTTCAGATAAACATCTACTTAAGAATTAAACGACCATTTGATTTAACACAGCAAAAACTCACGTAACTATTTAAACATCCAAAGAGCAAATTCTGTATAATTCTCCAACAACTATCCATTCTTCTAATTACTTCTAATGTCAACTTTGATTGAACACGTTTGGATTCAATAATCATGATCATCGATTTAATTCAACATTCAGTTAACTCATTTGCTTCAAACGAATTTCATTGAAAAGAAAAATTCTAACAACCCATCTTAATGTCTGATTGAAAACCAAAGAAGAATTCGTGGACAACGTGAGTGGAATAGCCACCACAGTGGTCACCAGTTATTATTCGCAGTCAGAACTACCGATCATAAATCTTTGAAGATTCCCGGCTTGAGCTCTTCCCACCCACTAGGCCAATGAACGAAAGCTACATATTTATTCAGGGCTTCGACACCAAACGTAGCAAAGTCGTACAGCTGGAATAAAATGACTGCCATCAGAGCGGAGATGTGGAATAGAATAATTTCGCGATCCCAAGATTTATGTAGCTATGTGATGGGTCTTTACCGTTTGGTCATACATGGACATTTGCGCGGCGACCTCTGATCCATTCACTCGATACACGAACGGCGCAAAAAATTCTTTTCCATTCAATTGCCCAAGCAGGAGGATTTCGAACCTCTTGGACTGAAAATCTTTGTCTATCTGTACATTGCACAAGAACCCCGAGTTCTTCAGTAAAAAGATGATTCACATGTATTCAATCGTGCAGACGAAACGACTAGGAAATCAAGGGTATCTAGTTCGCTGATGAGACACGGACCCACTTGTGACAAACAACTGTCTTACTGCTACTGCGACAACAGTATTTACAGCTTGCAAGGACAACAAGTAACTTGCCCACGCCACCTTCGCTGCCGGTGCTGACTTTTGACATATTTGTAAGAAACCAAAACCAGCAGCCCCACAAAAATAAATAAAAGAAGATCTCAGCACCTGAATATCTATGTCGCCCTTGAGTGATGCAGCTAACACCCACCTGTCGAAGAATAAATAATAAACATTGCAGGGAACTGCATCCAGATCACATTGGTTACATCCAAATCATGAAAATGCGGCGCAATCAAAGGATCTTGATTCAGTTCAAGATAACTCTCTGCCTGCGCAGGTCAAGCGCACTATTTCCTGTCCTTTGAGTTTCTTAGCGACTGATTTCTCCTCACTGGATAACAGCTCATCATTTGATCACCAGGAGCTAATTAACCTCTCTGGTACATAAAATTTAAGCAGACCTAGCTACAGAAGATCTGCCTCGAGATATATTCGAAGCAAACACCTTCTACACATGAGTAAACATCTAAGGGTAACAAAGTAGACACATAAGCTAAACTCGCAGGAACTCTCTGCCGTCCTATAAGAGATACAATAATAGCTTGAACATTCCATGATAGGTAGTATTATCCACGACAAAGCCGAAGAAAAACTCACTGCCAGTGTCTCTTAGCTCCCTAGCCGTTTCGCAGTACAGATTTGATGCAACCTTTTCATCCTCCGCAGCAACCTATCCACTCAGTTCCAACAACCTGAGTTAGAATAGACTCGTTTGTGAATCATGAGAAAAATCTGGACCACGATGTATTACACGATGTACCACAAGGTCTTTGAATGTACTGGGTTGAATGGCATAAAGCCGTGAGGTACAACCGAAACCAACAATTGTTGGAAGAAAAAGAGGCAGCGCATGAATAGCATAGCAAGGCATGGTATTACGCATACAAGGCAAAGCAAAGATGTGGATAAAGCACGCATAGCACAGCATCGTGCTGAATCAATGGACAGCAAATCCCAGAGTGTATAAAGCATTAGCTACATGCGAGGAAAGGAAGCAAGAACATAACCACTACAGCACCAACACAAGTCGTAGACGCGGAGGACCAGGTTCGAATACCAGAGTGCCAGAGACTCTATGAGAACAACTGTCACTATATACATTTTCAGCCGATGTGAGAGCAATAACCAGAGAACATAACCATGATCTACCCGGTTGCATAATCAGTGGGAGGCGGGGTAAAAAGTTTCGGCAATCGGCCGCGAGGGTGTTAAGATGAACTCCAAGCCTAGCAAACCGAAATCTACATGCTTGAACTTCATTCCTCTTCACCGGAAAAATAACACAAGTATTCTGCCGTCACGAGACGAACAACCAACGTCCACTCCAAAAGACAATCAAAGGAAGAGAAAAAATGAAACGAGTCCATATGAAATTTACCCCTGAGCCACGGAAACCTCAGCTGGTGAAGCTACTATCCTAAAGCAAAAAAATCGTCGAACATAGCTCCCCGACGGATTGGATTAGAATCGGGGCAAGGTCTTGAGCAATGCGTCTAACTGTATGAAACTCTAACTAACTGGCTACCTCTAAACGTAACAAAAGGATACACTTGGCAATAGACGTCCACCTTCCATACCCGGTTGTTGATGAGCCAAAATCTTAAGTGAAATATAAAGTGCAAACCCTAACTTCAGTGGAATGGGAATCTAACCTTGGGGTCAATTAATTTCGCAATGTCGTGATTATTGCTCCTCAGACGAGCATGCCATTTTCGCAACTCGCTAATAATATCAGGTGCGGGGCCTTCTCTTGCCTTCGGGCTCTTTTTACTCCGCTGGCAGGTGTAAAATAAACTTTGAGTAGCGACTCGATAGTCGAATATCAACCGTCGATGATCTGGTGGAATGCCGTCTTTGCCCTGCGTGTAGCGCACAGCAATATATTCACAATCTTTCTCAAACTTTGTAAGTCAAGAGACGAAGGCATGAGATCCAAAGTAGGTACTATCTCTAGAAAATTGAAACAAATACCTGAATTTCTCGCTTCCAGCTTTCAAAGTAGGCTGCTGGATCCACAAGGTCCTGAGATCAAGGCACAACCAGAGACTGTCAAACCACATCTTAGAAGTCGCCAGAAGAACGAAATACGTAAAAGGACACGAATGGCTCAAAGGAAGTGCAGTAGGTCCGTAGAACAGAGCGCTCACCGTTGAGGACGCAGAACTCCAGCACTTTAAATCGGCTCCCTGCTTACCCATCGGCCTCTTTACCCAATCATGCTCTTTGGTGGATAACCGACAAATACATTGACCGGCTTACGAATGACACTTTTAGAGGCGCTAATTCCTGATCGATCCAGGCAAAAGGTCCAAAGTCCTTCCGGGCACGAGGAGATAAAAAACAGGAATGAGTAAACTAACAAATAAATTATTGATTAGGCGGGGCTAGATTGGAGCAGAGACTGAATCGAGAGCAAGGGGGCTCGAGAGCAAGGGGGCTCAGGTGAACAGTTGTAAAGGACAGAAAACGCAGGCTCTCAGACCTGTGGACAAAATCAAGATCACAGACGCCTGCATCCGGATCGTGGGAGATACACAGACTAACACAACTGCCAATAATCCCTCCTCCTCTTTGGGAGCGCCAATAGTCGTCCGAGAGGAAGATAGGGATTTGTCAGCCAAACGACTGTGACAGTGACAGGCTTCTGCAAATCCGAAGAACCCAAAGTATAGCGGGACACAAAACAGAAATGCTCCCCGTGATTATCGAGCAAGCTCCCGGCAAAGACGACGGCAAGCAACTGAGAGATCAAAGCTTCACAGGAAGCGAAACACGTACGAAGGTGACTAGGCCACTAGGACAAGGTTACACAGAAGTAAACTGACATCATCAGGCCGAGTGATTTTCCTGATAATTCTCGTGAATCCGAACCCCAAAATCACTAATCATCACAACTTCAACTGAGAAGGTGGGGAGCGACAAATTCTTCTGTGGCCAACACGATAGGCAGAAGGATGACTGTGCTGAACACGAGAATGCCAGAGGGTAAGCCCTATTACAAAAGCTCCGCCCTTCTCACCGTCAGCCCGTTCCTCAACAGAAACCAGATCCGGAGGCAATGCTCCTCATTTCAAGTTGAGTGGAAATTATCCACTCCTGCTATCGCCTCTCAAAATGCGTCGGGTAAGAATAGAAGAACAACAGAAATTACACTTAAGGACAAGAGTGGAAAAGACGAACGACGACCCAGAGACTGAAAAATAAGTAAGGGCGCCTGTCTGAAGAGACTTATCAACCAGCAGTGTTATGCACGACCCCGTTCCAAATTATATCCGACTAAAAGATCGAGCAGCAGCAGCAGTGCGAAAGCGATAGGTATAATAGTAGTGGGAAAGGAGGAGGCACAAGCGAAAGTAGAAGAAGAAGATTAAGAAGAAGAAGAGCCTGCTCGGCACTCACAAAGCAGCGCTCACAGGCAGGCAGACTGACCGAGGCAGGGCAGTGCAGAACAGGTCAGGGGCAGTAGAAAGCAATTCCGGAGAAGATATGGAACGGGGAAAAATGTGAGAGATGGTGGCAAATGTCTTCTCTTCTCCTCTCTCTCTCTCTCTCCCTCTCTCTCTCTCTCTCTCGCTCTCGCTTTGTTTCTTGCTTGCTTGATTGACAGACAGATCGAACGAAAAATAGACAACAGGCTCTGGCTATAGGCTTACACGCACTCAACTCTCTCTCTCCCTCCCTCCCTCTCTCTCAACTCACTCTGATCAGGCATAAGGTGAAAAAACTCGACGACGAACGAAGGGAGAGGGAGCGAGACCAACTCGAGCTCAACCTCGGCCCGGGCTCTGGCGCAGGCAGGCTCGAGCTCGACCCGACCCGACCCGACCTGACCCGACCGACCGGACCCCGCGCAACTTCGTCGTCGACCCACCCACGGTTCGAACTCGTTGACGCTTTGCAGATCGGGCGCCTGCGCTTGGAGCCTTGGGCTCAAATCTACGCTACCCTGCGTCGAAGTCACGGTGGGACCCGGCTTTACGGTCACAGTCCCCAGTCCTCGAGTTTGAACCCACTCGGAAGTCTCAGTTTTCGATTCCCCGTCTGGACGGTTTAAACTCCACGATTGTACTTAGTCATCCATGTTTACCGTTGACCTCCTTAATTGTTAGTCCCCTTAATGATAAAAACAGTACATGACCGGACAAATCTAACGTGGATGTCAAATGATCCTATCGTTGACGTTTGTGGCGGCTCTGTGGCCTAAACTTGGCATCCAGTATTAAGGCCAGCAACAAAAGATTCAAAGAATAGCATGGACGCTTGGATTCATCAAGGGGAATCCGTTTGGTGAGTGATACCTTGTCATATGGGAAGGGAATGGACTAAATGTCCCATCCAGCAACAAAAATAGCCTTTCTCGTGTGTTGTTTTCCCCCTGCCGTAGGACTAGCACTCCGTCAACACGGTTTTACCCAAGGTGAAACTACGCCGGAAAAGTGTGCAGGAGTTGCGATGTCGTAACCAATCGACTTACCTCGACTATGTCCATATCTCTTGGCAACCAGGTGACATTTGGAGTGGCTGGAAAATGCCCCTGTTGACATGGGACAATACATGGTTCTACGATTGACTGGAGTCAGCACTTTCGGAGTCCGGTTGAAAAAGCTAGGCCGTCGGATCGTCGATCGGGCAGACGACGGCAGACCTTCTCACAGATACTCGTGCCAATTGGTTAACTGCGTTCGAAAACTGACACGCTATTGGGAACCACTAACCCCGTGGTCGGACAGGCGTACCCACGCGTCATCACATCGAGTACTATTGGTCCAGATTTTGCAAGCAAACTGCCAATAGTAAAATACCACGTGGACGTTTTGGCACGATCTCTACGCCCGCGATGTACGTTGGTCGTTCTCGATACAGAAATTGTCGACGTGGCATTCTCCTCCTTGTAGGTCCCATCGCTCACTGACTCGGCCCAACTTTTACCACCTAGGTTCTGCATCCCCGTCGGGTAAAGTCCCCCTTTTCTGCCACCTTGCACTTGCTCCACCCAATCTAAGACGTAGTGGGTTTCTCTCCCATTGTACATCATGACCACCACTTTGACCAGCAGGCGAAAATTGACGCTTTTGCTACTCGAGAGATCAGGAAGTACTTTCTAGTGATTGTGGGACTTGCAATTGTTTCTAAGAGTGACAGAAAGTTATTGGTTGGTCCCTATTTTCTTGTGATGAAACGGTACAGAGTCAATGTATTGGTATACGACATGATGTGCCGACCTCTTTTCCGCGTCCGATCCCATGAAAAGATTGTAAAGATGTCTAACCCTAGCTACCGACCAAGGGAAGATCATACAGCTTCAATGGTATAGAAAGGAGAAGAGACTGATATAAATATAATATTGTAGCAAACATTATGCTGGTGAACATGCTGTAGGAATTTCTCAAATGTCACTCTACAGATATGACATACAGGACCTTGCTATGATATGACATTTTGGATATCTCAATGAGTGTGTTTGACTGAGAATGGTAATAAAATACATGTATCCACTTAGGTTAGGGTAACCAATAGAGTATCGGATTAGTTGTAGTTACCTGCGTTTCATGGGGATGATTATTCATACTCTTCAAGGTATTGCGAATGTAATTAATATAACTAAGGTCTTTAAACCTTGAATTTATATAAAATTTCAAATCCTTGATAATGTAGTTCTGAAACTATGAACGAAGACTTGGATACATTCAAAAGAGTGCATAAAAGCCTACCATAATAAATGATAATATTATCTTTAACATTTTGTATAACATATATAACATTAATAGTTATAAATTATTATATAACATGAATAGTTTGTTATGCATGAAATCTACTGTATATAGATGATGCTATTTAAAGCTTTTGTAACATGAAGACCTCATCATTTGGATTGCTTTGATGCATGATGATGTACTTTTCATTTTATTTAGTATATGTTTAATAAAATGAAAATTCTGAAAATGAAATCTATTCTAAATATCTAGAGTAGATTTTTGTCATAACTTTGACTTCTTCCATGTGAAACTCATCAAATCTTCTCAGTTTTTTTGCCATATTACTTTGATATATGAGTGACATGTATGTAAGTAAGTTATACTTCATTCCAACTTAAAAATGTAACTCAAAGAGAATTCTAGCAATGAATATATATTAAAGAGTCGGTAATCATAAATGATGAAACAATACTCATAATTTATAAATGTGAACGTATTAACATTATTAATACATGTAAATGAAGTAAATTCATTTATATGTATTAATCACAAGACAAAAAAACATGATAGTTTTCAGCTTGTAATCAAATTGTGTTATATAAATGCAGTTTAGTAAAACGTAACTTTCGTTATCTCATCTTGTGAAAACATTGTAATTTATATTGTGAGTCAAATCTATAACACCAAAGAAGAAGAGATGAGAATAGGCCTCGGCAAGGTAGGGTTACCTTTTGCTACTATCTGGTAAATCGGTAAAATGTAGAGCTAAATTGTAAAGGTTGAGCTATAGGTAAGATAACGAGTAGAGTAAAAGTAAAGCTCAATGAATTACCCGATAATTATTGGCTAACCCTTGACCGTTGCAAAAGTCCGTCACATAGTTCATGGCGCGGCTGCGTAATCCGTGGCAGATTTTGAAGTTCCAACTCAATTCCAAGTGGTAATTCTTTTTAGGGTTTTGGATTTATGCAACATCAGTGATGTTGCATGATGAGTTTGATGGTTAGATGCATCACGCAACTCATCATTTGTTGACAAATACTGAGATTATGAGCACTAATAGCCGCAGCTACTATGCGGTTTAGGACGTGTTTTCCAACGGCGGATCCCTCCCCACGGCTGTGCCTCGTAGGGACCATGCGCAACATGTTGTCAACTCAAAGTGCAAACGAGCGCGACAATCCCATCATTGGACTTATATTCGAGACAATGAGGCAAGTGATCATATTCAACAGCGCCAACAACGACAATGCTGCAATGTGCTGCAAGTTGTTCTCCCTCAAGATCAATGCATCGGGATGGAAGACGCACCTGCGCTTGCACGACATCATGGATAACGACACCGCCTCGTCCACACCGTTCCGCAAGTATATGGTGAAGGCGACGCCGAGCTACATCCGCAAGTTTGTGTTTTTGACATTCATCCTCGAAGGGTTCAAAAACGATGTCATCAATTACGTCATGCAAGGTGACGTAATGCTACAGGCGGCTGGTAGCGATCTGTTCAAACAATTTGTTGTCGCATTGACGCACGGATATGAGTCCTCGTCGACTCGTTGAATTGCATCATGTACTCGATCCAGCGCTTGCAACATTCATTTGCAATCTGATGGCCGTCATCTTGTTGACTCTAGACGACTGATCCAATAGGAATATGAAGGAATTCTACATTGTTTTTGCTCACTAGGTAGATGTCATCACGCTGAAGATCAAAAATATTCTATTGATGATACTCTATGTCAAGTGCGGGTTTGGTGTCGGCATGTTCGTCGGGACAGACCTATTCGAATACTTGAAGCGCTTGGACCCGGATGTAGTCATGCGCGTATTGAACGTCACCAACGATAATGAATTGGACGCGACAAGCACAACTATGCGACTCTTCCAACTTGTGAACGCTTTTGTCGGCTACGAGCAGTTGCGCAAGTGCAACCACGTTCAATGCGTCAGCCAATCTGTCAAGCTTGCGATGTTGCAGGTCTTGAAACTCATTTGCCAACCCATCATGCAGCTACTGAACGACTTGATGGGTTGACGAATAAGCAAAGTCATCCAGCAACACTATCAGATTGATGCCTCGTGCTTTGATCTGAGTAGCACGGACTCCACACATGCAGATTTGCCAACGAGATCAACGAGATTAGCCATGGGACTCTTCAAGATTCAGAGTGGCAAGCAATTGCCGGCGTGTCAAGATTTCTTCCCACACCACTGAAGATCATGAAAAGCCCCGCGGCGGACTACAAGCTCATGCTTGACCTTGTGTTATTGTCCGTCACCATGTTTATCAAGTATTGAGATGAAGACGAGCAGCACCTGCAAGAGATACATGTTGCACTAACGGCAATTTCCATGAAGATGAAATTGCAATCGTATGAGCAGAAGCTAGTGCAAGGATCAATCATCATCGTAGCGCATCTGAACCCCAAAATCTTGAAGTCGACTGATCTAGCCGAGTTGATGGTTGTCATTACAATTGTACTAAACGTCATGCAACGATACTATTTTGCCGAGATCATATTGACCAAGAGCAAAGACTTGCCATCGGAAGCTTCATGCAACTTGCTATCCGCCATAATGTTATAGCAGCAGAGCGTCAATGGTGGATTTGACAATGAGGTTGATGAGTAATTGTCGATTGGTGTCCTAATTTTATCTCATTTTTTGAATAACTTTTGTTATTATTTTCATTATCTAAAAATGATTACAATATTAAGTTAGCTGAATTATGACAAGTCAAATCTCAAACCATGATTTATTTACTCAACTTGATCTACATCATAGTATGTTTAAACATGAACTCAATTTAGTAATGAAAGTTATATCAATTTTTTGAAACAAAATTTACCCAACAATGTATGGCATTTATCCAAGCATGTGTGGTTTTGGCAACCGTATGGCGGAGTGACTAAATAACCTAAATCTCGCTCTTGCTCTACCTACTGAATTAAGTCTAATATGTATAGTATGCCTCCCCCATTTTACATGATTTGAATCAGGCCAAGCAAACATTTCTTGTTATCTTATTCATCCTTGCACATCAAAGAAACCGTAGTGTGTTTTTGATGTGAATTTTTGTTTGCATCTTTTCTTCTATGTGTTTGATATTCACACCCCACTATCATATCCAAGAAATTCAAAGTTTTGTCAATTTACATCAAGACCAAATCTTTATATTGTTCTTTTTCATTTTGCCTTGGTATCCATTCATTACCCTTGGTTTTTTTCCAGAATATTTAAAGCTCACTTCTAATGTTTGAAGAGTACAAAGATCTGAATTTCTCCTCTTGTTTGAAGAGTACAAAGATCTGAATTTCTCCTCTTGCAAAATCTGCTATACTTTGAGAAGACGGTTATCTAGTTCAAAAAACTTTAAAATTGTCTTAACTAGTGGTAAGTTCACGAACGGGCAATGTATTCTGAACTTTAACGCAGTAGATACTAGGTGCACTTGCGGAAAGTGGAAGCAAGATGATGCTCGAACTCACTGAAAGTCACAACAAGTGATGTGATTCGAATTGAACAAAAAGAATCAGAACCAAGATTCTCTTTCCAAAGTAAATTGTAGACTGGATGCAAAGGGTACTTCACGTCTCTCGAGAACTCAAATTTATCGTGAACTCAAACAGTGTTTGAGTTCAAGGTGTTTGATGTGAACTAGTGACTCAACTCAATGGACAAGAGGAAAATTCTGCAAGTGAATACTAAATCCGAAAGACTGGTTTGTAGCAAAAATGGTGCAATGTGGACACACAATGTTAAGTAATGTTTGGAATCACGTATATTTTAGGTGTAGGAACTCTGCGTTTTGTAGAATGGCATGTTTTGGCAGTATAGATGCAAGTTTTTTTTTCTTTAAACAAGTTTTTTTCCTTAAACAAGAGAGGAAATTAGGTTGGCATTCTTATCTTAGATCTCCACCAGGAGTTTCCTTGTAATAGGTACCATTTGGAAGAGTTTTTTTAAAGAAACTAATAGCCTATAAATTAGCCTATATTAAATCCCATCATGAGACTAAATTACATTAATTTATCTATTGACCAATATAAGCATGGCTGCATATATCCAAAACAAGATTACGTCACTTAACATGGTCATAACCATCAATAAATACTTGTATTCGAAGTTACAGTAGAATGTTGGAAACTAAAACGTATCGGGCAATTTCGAGTAAGGATTCTCAGGATATATCCATGTCATCATGACAATACACTGTTTGATAAAATATATAATGTGGTTGAAATTGTGATTTATTCGTTTATCTGTGATGTTTTAGAATTGGGCGCGTTCGAACTACTACATTCTCCACATCATCTAAAGGTGTAAAGACTACTTAATAGAGTAAACGCTTCTCTCGCAATAACTCAGATTGGTGTCTGAAAGGGAAAGAAGACTTCCCCGAGAATCCTGTCATAACATGATGTAAAATAGCTCAAGAAATCAAAAGTTTTTTTCAAAGACAATTGATAAGATAGGATACAATAAGATAGACAACACTTAACTAATGTATCTCTTTGTTGTTTGTAGTTGTCCCACAGAATTTCAACCCCAAACAGACATGTGGTGAAAACACGAGAAAATCTGGCACTGGCACCAAGATAGAAAGATCTAGCGATTTTATGTGCAGGCAGGAAGTTAGGTCATCGATCACCTATCTCGGACAACACACCGATAATTCGAACATCGTAACATTCTATCTACGGTATAGAGCAAGAACCCGTCAGTACCACATGTCTGCTTAAATAGCATTCTGCTTTCTCTTGCAATTTGTACAGAGAGTGATCGGAGTATCTGCAGTTGATACCTCATTCCGGAAAATTTTGTTTTGCTGCGACGTACCAGAGTTATTGTAAGATTTGTTACTTCAACTAGAATTTCGGACATTCCAACGTGAGAATTGCAGCCACATTGCGATCGGGATTTGTTGAAATACGTAAGTGTTCATCGTGTACCACCTTAGAGAGACAGTCAATTTAGGTGTGTGAAATATTATTGGAAGGATTTGTAAAGCTGAAGCCTAAGGTCGGTTTGCAAACGATGAATTGCTTGAAAACTTTGTACTAGCCGTGTGACGGACGACTATGAATTGGAACCATTGCGTTGTAAACTCTTCTCTTCTTCTCTTCAATCAACAAACAAAACACAGTTCTTGGCGTATAGTGAGCAGAAGCAGATTCTAACGTGATGGATGACCAGCAAAACATCTGGAAACGGGAGGTTCTACAACATTGCAGATAAATTCCATTTTCAGCATCAAGCTATCGATGGGTAGTCCAAATTTGTCATCGGCATAAGAGACGAGGATACAAAAAAAAATCCACACCCTCTCACCTACCCTTTCAGTACATCCGCACCCTTGTTGTACAGTACAATCGGAGGTTTAATACGTCCTATTCAGCATCACGTGGACACTTCACAGCTCAACTATAATACTCTAACGGAAGATCGCAGTAATTGTACAAGACCAGCTGAGTGAACTTGGACGTCCTTCGTACCTTACACCTGAACCACGGTGTACCACCACTTGAAAGACTATCTATTCCTACGTTCTCTACATATGTCGCACCAAAAACAACAATGTTTAAGGCACATACTAATAAGCAGCTTCATTCAGTAGAGCTAGGAAGGCTGTGTGGATGGATCCTCTTCTTCATGAGATAGCGCCTCCTTTGGAAGCTCAATAGAGAAAGGATACTATCTGTGGCGACTATCTGATAACCGGCCCCTTGATACATGTTGAGGGGTGCCATATCTACCATCCTGCAGTGCAAATACAAATCCTCACAGCCTTTTGACGCTGCCAATTCCTCCGCTGCTTTCAAAAGCTCTCGTCCAATACCTCTCCTACAAAATGCAGATCACACACTCATTACTTAAAAGTTTTCCAATCCTCAGTTTAAAAGCGCGTTCCATCTCCAAGGATGCTATGTCAGTCACTGCGAATGCGATGCATCCTTACAATACTTGGGTAGGTGCAACAGAAACAAATAAGATAAAGATACATTAGTTCCTCTGTGATTAGACATTTCAGACAATTTCGAAGCTGTAAGCATACGTCATATGCTCAAAGCCGGAGATAAAATACCAACGGTCGCATAAAGACTTCTCCGTAAATCAATCTGAGATTTGCTATCAAGATGCCTCACATGACAAGTTGGACAATACACACCTACGGTAGGCGGAGCTGACGGCCATGTTGCATAGATAAGGTGAGCCTGGTGGAGGTGATGGACCAGCAGGAATATCTGGATGACCAGCGTTCGAAAAAGAGAGCTCCACTGTCCCAGCCAGCAACCAATTGCTAGATTCGTTGTCCTCTGTTCTACCCATTACCACATTATCTTCCGCCGGTGCATACAGTCCTATTAAGGTCACGGCATCTGGTAGGCAAGCATACCTATCTCGAACGTATTGCCGGACAGTCAATGTCAACAGGGGCCGATATGTAAGTAAGCCCCCCATGAGCTCAGCAAATGAATCCACAAGAAGTTCCTCGACTGCTTTCATGTGTTCCACTCTCAATACTTGCACTACTAAAACCCCCTTCTCAGTTCCGATTCTGTACTCAAAATTTCTCAATGCGTCAACCTTTTTCATATCCGCAATGCTCCAATCTCGCTCTCTGTCCACCTTCATATCTTCGTAATCCATCTCGATAGGATTGGTTGACGCCTCCACTATTTCTATACCAGCCTCGGCCTCCTCGTCTCTTCCATCAAAGTCACTTGAGGTGCCACTCTCACTCGAACCCACAAATGTCTCCTTTTCCGCATGCAACTGTTGCCCTCTACAGAAAATTTCTTCGTCCTGGACCTCTAATTCACTGGACTGGCTCTCGGCATCTGCATCGCTTCTCGGACTCGTGGAAGATGATGCCTTCATTTCTTCAAGATCCGATGAGTGGGCAGTAGCTTCGTCCACAAGAGATCTGACTTTCAGCTTCTCAAAGGACGAATTTCCCAAATGTTGCCCGCGCCTCATTGTCAGAGTGGGTACAAATCCTTTCCTCACTTTCGAAACGCATGCACTTTGTGTCCTGTGGTAGCGGCTGACTGTGGGTATGGCCTTGGCTCCAGGAGAGCCCGGAACTCGCCACGAGGGCACAGACGAGAATGAAACAGCGCAGCTGCTGAGCAAATCTCCATTGAAACTTGACTTAGACCAGCAACCACCGTTGTCTGTCGCCGAAATGCTTAAACCCATCGGAGGCAGGATAGAAACAAACGACCCTATCTGCATTAGCGGAATGCGAGTTCCCATTCTCAGATAATCCTCGACGATCGGGGCTAAGCCGACTCTAATTTCAGCTGAGCAAAATGGTTCTGTAAGAGTTCAATCGTCCGGTAAGTGAGGCATCGGCTGCCCACTTACAGAAGGAGTTGTTGCACGCTGGTGAAATCTACCCCTGAAAAACACAGAAAACAACTGTCAGAGCTTATAGAATAGCAGCTGGCTTTGAATTCCACGAACCACTTTGAGCCACAGAGAATAACTTCACTGGTGCAAAAAGAGTGTCGAGGAAAAGATGATTCGGTTGAAGTGCCTTTGTGAAAGCACGGCAAGACCACAACAATCAAAGAGATACGACGGAGAAAACCATTTAACTGCCTGCCGAAGAAGAAAATAAAAGAATGTTAAACTGAATACACAGGATGTCCATCCAGAATTTACGGCTGCACATTCCCTCACATCGGGAGCTTCTAAGCCACAGCGTCCATATTCATCTCTCTTTATGATAGAGCCTAGTGGATCACTTGGTCTATGTCGGACGATCTTATCAAGAAGAAAATAAGCTGCTGTGTTCATCAGAAGTGAATGTACCAAGTAAGGACCTCCCTCATATTTGTATCAGCATGTGGCGTCTGTGATGGAAGAAAGTATGAGAATGAGCCTCATACGTTAGGTACCGACTTCGCACATGGAACCAAGGCGACGCATCCAACACGAACAAGGGTTCGGCCGAGAAACATTCCAGCCTGCCATGATCCAGCTCTCAGGATCCACTGCCGTATCGGCGAGGAAAAAGCGAGTCCGAAGCAAAAGCTCAACTTGCTCAAGAGGCGCCACTTCGCAGAATCTCCCCGAATACATCAAGCGCAATCGACATCGAAAACATCGACGGAGAGCAGGCAAGCGCTCCGGGTTCGAAGGATTTGGTGGAAAGTCTTCTTTATTTTACATGATTCAAAAGACAAAAAAAGCAGAAGCAAGGTCGGTAGTATATAACACGCACCCGAGAAACATCAATTGTACGCTGCCTGCGGAAATGCTCGCGAGACCCAGCGAACTGGCACTAGCTGGTGAAGGGTAAACAGGTCCGTCGTTCAGGAGTATATCCAATTTTGTCGGACCACCTTGGGAATCAATAAAGAACGTGGGCTACAAACGACCATGAAGCTACATTTCCAAATCCTTCCATACTTGTCCCCCAAAACTCGAAGCACAGGTGTGAATCGTCACGTGTGAACAAAATTGAATTGAACTTACGAAGGCGTACATCTGCAACTTCCAGAGCACCAACCTTGCGTTACCTCTCCAGAGTAGACTGACTACTACATCTGTGTCATACAGAAACACGGTCTCACAAGTATGGGCGATGGCGGACGTTCGGATCCAAAAGTTTGCCTCCCAGACGTGTGCACCAGTCGTACACTCACTTGTGTGCAGAGGCTGGAGCCACTGGTAGGACTGAATAAAACGCAGGGGTCCCACCCCACAGCCGCCACGTTGAACCTTTGGCCTGGGGTGGCCACGATCGCCACAACACAGCACAGACCGTCAGAGCAGAGGCACGCTGCGTGACTGGGTTCTCTTGCTCGGTCGCGACATGGCACATGCCTCTCCTGGTCGCAACTCGGCTTGCTAAAGCTCAACTCGGACGCACATTCCCTGCTCCAGTTGGTGTGAGGTTGTAGCGCGCAGAACGCAGCTCAATCTAGAGTGAGTCTTTTCTTCGTTCCCTTCGACACTTGATCTTTTCACTGCCTCTAGCCTTTTTGTCTTCAGATTTCCCATCACAAGATTGAAAATTTTCTGTTCGAGTGTCCTCATTCTCCGTAGGCGTGTGATTGCGAACAGAGATGCAGAAATATCAATCCGTTTAAAGAAGTTGTGCAGGCTTTCCAATATTTTTTCGCAATTCGTTAGAATCGGAACAGCATTATGAGTGTCGAGGCCTTGACTGTCAACAGTGTGGCTGATGATTACAGCTCTTCTTCATGTCCGTGGCTGGGATGTCAAAATGGACAATCATCAACTCTTGTTGACGATTTCATATTATAAGGGCAACAATCATAATGCAATCAAAATCCTGTGTATAGATTGTTATAAGGGTAACAATCATAATGCACTCAAAATCCTGTGTATAAATTGTTGTTTCGGTTACAATATTGATTAATATAAATATTGATGAAGTGCAAGAGCAATCTACTGATCACAATACGATCAGTAGCATTACGAGAATTACTGCTCAACTTTTTTTTTTTTTCCCTCAATACTGCAACTCCTGTTTCGAATTACTAATCAAACTGACGGCATTGAGATAAGTAGATTGTTCCTGCTCTTCATTATTCATCAATATTAATCAATATTCTAGCCTAAACAAGAGTCTATACACAGGAACACCATCGTGCTTGGAGATCTAAAACGAGAGCAGAGAACACCTCAGCAGTCTGTACGAAGAATCGGAGACAACAAAAAGATTACCTCCCATAACGTGGACTCTTGCATCGAGCTCTAGGGATCGAGAGGGATCTCTCTCTCGGTAGCAGCTTTTCCCCAGTTCTGAAATACGATGTAACTCATTGCCATGAAGTGAACACTAACTAACTAACTCGAGTGAACACCCAAGGAATTACTCCGGGGGCTCTCTCACGGGAAATGGGTCCCATAAAAATGAAGAATGTAGTTTTCAAATCCTCGCGCTGTTCACTTAGATTTTATCGTGCCCAGACAAAGACTTTCTATGAGTATCTGTACAGTACACATAGGACTTCAACCCAATGCGATACAGCACCTGAGGTGTAAATAATTCCTATAATTCTGCAAGATTTATAACATTAATGGTGGGATCCTTCGAAACATCTGTACACAATTTCAAATTCTTTTGACATATTTCCTTCTCTCTATGCTCACATTTCGTTGCGGTTCTATCTGCAGAATTGCAACCTCGTCCACAAAGGAAACCACTGCAGTACTCTAAAACAACAGCCCTCGAAACCAGTTCAAACCATGTAGAACAGATTTCAATGGGCGAGGAATATTCAGTCTATCGACCGGATGATCTCCTGGCAATATAACCAAAACCTGCACATGGGCATACCCACTTTCTTTACTTCTGCAATAGAACTAGACTTGATCGTTAACCTAAATCCTTAACACAAAATCCAACATCACACGCAGTAGTAAACTTTGTGAAATGGACTTGATGCGTCCATTTCCAAAATATCCAAGCCGGTGCGAGTTACGGCTTCAGGTTAGCACGTTGCTCCAATCGTTTCGTTCAACAGCACATACAGATATTCTAAATTCCACAATAGTTCTGCTTTGTATATACGCAAGGCAAAGGGATTGAAGCAGTGAAAATCTTACTGGAAGTCTTCGTCGCCCCCACTTCAGCGCCTGTTGATGTGAATGGTGGTAAAGATCTATTCGAGTTTTGCCTTTTATAGCACCTCCTCTGTCTTCTACCTGCAGGAGATTGTGCGCGTGTTACTATTGCATCACCAGAACTTCGAAATCCAGATGAGCCAGTTGAGTTACGTCTCTTGCAAGATATAGAATTGAAGAACACTTGCCTCTCCCCAGCCATAGCCTGGAACGAACATCTTCGTTCCAAACGGATAGAAATCTGTGTCTGCAGCGATTGAACCATGTCTGGGAAGCAATCGCCAAGGAAAGAGAAGCAGTCGACCCGGAAGCTTTTGATACTGGCTCAAACTTAGTCCCGAAAAAAGTGGAGGACGAGCCTATTGAAACAGACAAAATGGTTTGTTAGAGATTAAGAAATCCATTTCACAGAGGTGCATTTTTTGTGATATTTTCCGTTGACTGAAGTGTGTCTCCTTTCAAAACCGTTGGTTGTATAGCAAGAGATGATAGGAAAGCTTTGTTATTCGGTTTACTAGCTAGTATCCAGATACAGTAATCTGGATTTTACTTCTAGGTCCATATTAAAGAGCAAATTCTCACCGTAAGAGGTAACTAGGCCACAACAATAAGTTGGCTCTTGAATTTCAACAAGTAAGAGCCCACTAATTTATTACAGAGAATTCAGTTTCACTTCAGCCCACTTTAGTTCAGAATTTCGGCTCAATTTCAAGATGGAATTACGTTGACTTTAGTATCCGTCTAAGCAATATGCTGCTCTATCAAAAGCACTTTACACAGCAAGTTCTACGACAGTGGTTGGCATCACAAGCAGGAGAGTTGTTTATAACAAGATTCATGACTTGGCGTGAAATAATGACAAGGTTTGTTAAAGATATGATTTTGACGAGTGGTGGTGAAAGAAAAACCAAGCTCCTCAACTTACTTGGATTCAACTATTCTGCGCAATTGATTCGACAAGAAATGTTTATGCGTTCGTTGAATACGGAGAGTCAAGGGGAACCATCGATAAAACACTCATATACCTGAGCAGGAACGCTCCCATTAGATGTGAGGCCATAGTACGGGTAGCCAGACAAATTTCTCGTTGTCCAGTACCTATGCAGAGAAAGACATGATTGTCAGTGTCCCATGAAAAGACTTTGGCCTTTGTAGCTGTAATCAACTGCTCAAACAGCTGGTCGCGTCTTGCGTTCACTAATTCAATGTTCCACGTTTTCGGAAGTGGCAGCCCCATATCAGCACAGATCTGTGTAACGTATTCAAACCCAAAGCACAGATAAGACCCAAAGCAAATTAGCATACCTGGAAACAAGGGGCAACCGCTTTTCTGTCAATCCCTGACTTTTGCGCTGACGCAGCTTCAACGGAGCCCAAGACGGTGAAAGACCCAGATAATATTGTCCTGGGAGTCTTATTCCCCATTCCCAATTGCAGCAGTATCCACAACTGGTACAGGTAACAAGATTAAGAAGTGCCAAGGAAATCAGCATACGAATTCCCGATTCAAAAAGTCGTATTTACAATCGGAACCACAAGACAAGTCAACTTTTTGAGCTTGGAGAATATTTAACTTCTCTTGTTAGGACTACATTGTGTACGTGAGTAGCACATCCGCACGTGATGTAGAAACAAAACAATTAAAGTTATCTGCTCGAATCGCATGCCAAATTCATGAGCAACCCAACCCTTCGAGATCGATTTTCTCCAATTCTCGCAATGCTCGGAAGAAAGTGCTCCCGAATGAGCACCTGGTCGAGAGATTCGACATTCGCGGTCCACAAAACTTTAAAATTCTTACCATCTGACCTGAACTCACAAACTGCGAGACCTAGGGTATACATTCTCATCCAGCACAACACAGGATCTCGACAACTGACACGAGGATGATTGATCACCGGTCGACCAGCACATCGATCGACATGGTTCAAAGAGCCAGCGGGTTGGAAGGAAGTTCGAAGGACCAGCTCCTCCAGCCTGCAGAAACGACCTGAGGATTGGCCAAACACTCACGCAAGCCTTTCACATCAAGAATCAAAACGAAGTCACCACTCACCTGCAGTAAGCTGTTGTCTCAATTTCTAACTTATAAGGCGCCATGCTGGTTACAGCTCTTCCAGTTCGAAGGATGTGAGATTGAGCGCCTCTCCACTCCGCTTCGGATCACCTCCCCGGGACGAACATGACGAGTCCGGCCTTCTCGTCTCCCTTACACACACGATCAATTAAAACATCACTCCCTCAAACTTTCCGCATCCATTTCAATCGATCGTACCAACCCCAGATTCACCCCGACCCCCTGAAACATTGATGTTCGCGCCGTGTGGACATTCGTCCATATACTCTGCAACCAGAGCAGCAGGCCGTGCGACGCTAGCAAGAGCGGGGTTGACTTCGTGACACGAGAGCTGTGTTCCATAAGGAAGCTGCCAGTCCGTCCGTCCAGTCGACGTGCACCATCGCTCAGTATGCTTTGGACGCAACGTGACTGAGATTCGTCTTGTCTCCGTCCGCCCGCCGGGAGCCCCGACTACTGCAGTAGCGCGCCATCGTCGCTCCACTGACCAAGTTTGAACGTTGAGTAACATCCCCTCGGGGGCAGATCGACCTGAATTTACTGACTCTCGTACTTTTGCCTATTCGTAGTACGTTTCGTCACGGGCATAAAATACGGTACGCGAGGCTCCGGTAACAGGATGGAAGATTCGGTACCGTACCCATAGCCTTCTCGTCGTTGAGCAGGGAAGCGGTTACGGAAATATCCGACCGGAAGTCAAGGGCGTGGAATGAGGACTGTGCTGCAGTCAGTGATCTGCTGCGGAGGTCGTCTTAATGTCTTGCAGGAGCGAGAAAATTGTACATTTGCTCGAAGCTGAAAAAGCTTCGCTTGGCGAGCTCAATGGGCTGGCAAGGGCATGCGACTTTCTGGCCCTGAAGCTGAATTGTGGATGAGGTCCAGCATCCAGTGGACGGTGGCGGAGCTTGTAGACAAATGTTCGATTATTGGAGCAGAGCAAGTGGATGGGCTGCATGTCTACGCTGACTGACTAGAGGAGATGCAGTGTTTGAGGAGCCAGAACAAGCAGGAGAAAGGAAATTTTGACAAGCAGCTGACACTCGCATGGACGACATGTCTAGTCTGCTAGATGCTGAGTGAGATCAAACTGCGCAACTTCAATCGGTCATCTCTTGCTGCAAAGGTGATTAATCACTTAAAACTTCACCAACACATGGAGCGCAGTCATGCGCAATACCTGTAATACTCTACATGCCATGATGGCAACCAACTGACAAAGCTAATGTTCGATGAGGCTCACACAAAGCTACGGGAGGTCGTGGTTGCACGGAATAATAAATTTTTTGAAGGATAATCTAATAAATATGATTGACTAAGTTTCTCACAGGTTTCTATCTAGAAATTCACATATTCGCTCTTCCATATACATGCGGTCTCTGAGTCCTCGAGGCATATGCCTCTCATCAGGAAAGACTAGAAGCTCGTATTCTTTGGCTGCTGCTGTTAAAGCATTTATCAGACGGGCTGTGTGTCGAAAATGAACATTTTCATCAATCATCCCATGCACCAACAAAAGTTTTCCTTGTATTCTATGCACATGGTGCATAACTGAACTATATTCAAAACCTGCGTGGTTGCTGGAAGGCATACCCATGTATTTCTCAGTGTAGTGGGTATCGTACCCGTCCCATGCTGTAACTGGAGCACCCGCTACAGCACACCTAAAGGTTTCCGGACATCGAGCTAATGCCATGGCTGCCATGTAGCCACCGTAACTCCACCCATAGATTCCTACTCTACCTTTGTGTGCCAAGCCTTGTCGCACCAACCACTGCACGCCCGCTTCCTGATCTTCCACGTCTATCCGACCCATGTTGTTCTTCACAGCTCCTTCGAACTTGAGTCCTCGTCTTGCGCTTCCTCTATTATCAAGCTGTCATGCAAGCAATGAAAATAGGCAAACCAAAAAATAATAATCAATCAGTTCATGGTGGGAGCTGACGCAATTTGGCATCTTCAGTTGGAGATAGCTCTGCACAGGGCTGTGGATGCTTTCAAATATATGCAGAGGACATACGCTCAGGCTCGGGCTTCAGTGCAATAGAAGCAATTTAGACAGATAAACAAGATACAGGTGCTGAAGCCTCGCAAACCAAAATAAAACTGCACCACCATATACTGGAGACAACCCCAGAGCTTGCACGCCATGCTCGGCGGACAACTTGAGTGTGAGAGAAATTGAAAGCTAGACCCATCCCCATCAGGCAAAGTGCTAAGTTACAAAGTAACGTAATGACAGATGAAAACCTGAGTGAATATCGCGTATCTCGGCTAAAAAAAACTGGAATCTGAAATGGGACTTTCACCATGATTTCATACAGCGAAGCTACAGACTGACGAGGAAGTGAAAGCTGCAGTCACGACGGGCATAAGAAATGTGGAGTTGTATCAAGTTGGCTAGAGGTAAGACAGTTGGTTGGTGATGTTAAATCCAGCTTTGCAGAGGTAAAATACTTTCTCAGGTAAGCTCCTGTGTGGAAAAAGATTTGCTCTTTCCGTTCAGACAATATTGTTCTTGTTGTTGTTGAGTAAGGGAAAAATATCTGTGTAGTAGGCCTGACCTAAAGTCATTTGAACGAACTAATAATCAACTGATCACGCCTGTGAGCGACGATGCAGCTGTGTCTCGGCCTTGTATTTGTGGGTTTCTTGACTTGCAACCTCACAGAAGTTGAGATCTGATGCAAAGAAACAAAGGGGGTTGTCAGAAAGTTGGAACCATAGTTACCTTCCAAACAAGAATGCCTCGGCTCCTCAAATATTGTGCTCTCATGTCAACTGTGTTCATCCAAGAGTTGCAAACAGTTTGCACGTTGGGTCCACCGTAGACACTAACGACGGTCCTGTAGGGTGGTGGTCCAAACTGATTCGGATCTGGTTTGTACAGAGCTCCGTAGAGTATCGTACCGTCGTCGCCGGTCTGTATCTCAACAAGTTCCGGTGGGGCCAGTTGTAACTTCCGAGCACGCGGCGTCGGTGCAGGTTGTTCGTATATAGGCACTATTATTCTGCCATCGTCTAGGGAGCAGAGCAAAACTCGTGGTGGTGTTTCCAAATTATCATGTATATCCACAAATCTTTGCATCTGGTGGTCTAAAACTACAATATGCCGGCCTTCACTTTGTGTCAGTCTCCTTGGCCTTTGCAAAGGAGAAACAAAATCTGGAAACAATTGTGTACTATACAGGTGAGTGTCAAGCGGAGAATCCATAATCCCCACGAAGTAAATTATGCCACTATTCTCATCCACCCCTGCTATCTGCTCCACGGCCCAATCGCCTTCTGTTAGTGCACCCAAGCACCTACAGGAACCATCGTACAAGTATAGATGCCTGAAGCCCGTCCTTTCACTCGCCCATATAAATGACCCAGCCAGTCTTCCCGCTCCTTTATGTAAAGGTGTGAAACAATCGTGCAGATTCACCCAAATATCATTTTCCTCTGTCAACATGGTTTGACGTGAGCCGGTCACAGGGTCAAACTTTAATAGCTGAAGCTTTGTTTGAGCACGATTTTGCACCTGGACTGTAAGGAAGCCATCAGGCATCCACATGACACGTGCCAGGTATTCCTCATCCGCAATTTCTCCACAGTGGAGCTGCATCCAAGATACATCACCACCAGTGACGGGGACAACTCCCAGGCGAACTTTGACATTTGCTTGACCAGCAAAGGGATACGGATGATCTTCCTCAGCTTCGCCACCAAGAGTAGCCTTACCCTGATGCATTATGCGGAAAGAAGGTATTCCAGTAGCATCCACTTCCGCAAATGCTATGTGCCTGCTATCAGGTGACCACCAGAATCCATTTCTTCTTTCCATCTCTTCCTGGTCCAGACAATGTGAAGCGAAACGCACTGAGGTACTGGTATACAAGACTTCAAAGCAAGAGTTGCATCATACAAAGAGCTGTTTGGGTGTACCCATGTATCTGTACTACCAAGACCAGCAACACAAAGACAGCAGTACCAAACCTTAGAGTAACTTGAAGCTTAGTTCGCGAACACTGGAGAAGTCATACTGGGAAAGATAAAGACAAAAAAGGTACCTGGGCGATGTACTCAGCTAACCCATGTGTCTGCAATCATATCCACATCAACAGAATTGCATGAGTTGAAAGAAGTTGAAGATTAACTCCTACTTCCTTTGTTCAAAATGTTGAAAGGGAGAAACGTCGCAGGATATAATGTCCTCACAGTGTACTCTCCCCACGTCCTAACTGAATTCAAGGCTGGAAGAATCGATTGATCGTGCATTGCTTGATACCTTGCCTGTCCCTCTTGCACCTGTTGTAATCTGCACTGATTCTCCGCCTACGATAGGAATAACGTAGATCTCATCTTCCCTGACATAAGCAATTGAGCAACCGTCGGGTGACAGTTGAGGATCCAAAATTGGGGTGTTCGCCGTGCTGGGAACTCTGAGTCGAAGGTCTGCAGACGGTCCATCCTGCACATATATCTGCAACATTGAGAGTCAATCTTAGTCAATCACTGAAAGAGACGCCTGATGACTTCGTAGCACCGCCCGTGGATGAATAAAAAGTGCATAGTAGAGGATAGAAATAGGACGAAAAGCATTAAGCGAATGTTGTATTTCCACGGTTTTCATGCAGTGAATATCTACGATACCAACAGAAGTAGATGTCTAACAATCAACTCAACGAAACCAAATCAATGAACTTATCCAGGAAACTAGTTCACTTCAAGAACAAAATTCTTCAAAAATTAGTCACTGAGGCATTGAAGTCATAGCTAGCCATGCAAGACACATCCACTGAGAAATTGAACACTATGATGAGACAACGCCAGGCCCTGTCGGCAACTTCGGCATGGGAGTATGAGATCATCTAAGTAACAGAACGAAATCGCACTACTGCCATATCCATTACAAGCACAGAATCTCAAGAGTTTTCGTGGGTGACATGACAAGGACAATATTATGCAGTGATAGGTTTGTGAGCGTTGAAATCGTACTCCTCCAGGAAGAGGGACCATCAATCTTGGAGCGAAACCACTCTTAGCCCATTCATACCGTGTGACACCCAAGCCACGCTCCCGCAGTCTCTCTCTTCGCAGCTTCTCGGCCGTCGATAAATTCCCTTCGTCTACTCCTCCTCCGGGAGGAGTCACTAACAAACGTTGCTGTCGGAGCACCGGGTCAAAAGCGAAAATCTTTCTACTGAGAGTGCTGTCGGGGCTGTACAGGTACGAAATCAAGTTGTCGTCGGGGCTAAAGGCGACCGATGCAGGGGCCACATAGCCAGGTAGAGGATACTGAACGATGTCTTCCACGGGAAAGAGCGTATAATCGTCTCCTCCGATGCCGGTTTGACTGTCTGTGGTGGGCATGGTCGAGGTTGGAACGCAAGACGAGAGTGATCGTTTCGCCTTTTTACTGCCTACGCCTGTTTCTGGCGAATCCACCGAGTGCATTCCACAACAACCTCCACAAAAATTTCCTATTGATCCGACTATCTTCAAGCTCTATATCCTTATGCCAGCAACCAACAGTGGTGAAAATGCTGACGCCTCCGTACTGATCAAGATAACGCCCACTTCTGATGCCCCTAGAAGTGTCGACTGTCAGCTGCCTCCTCGTATTTTCCAAGGATCTCATATAAAGCTCTACACACTGGGACAGCCCGAAGCAGCTGGCTTGAGACAATTGATCGACAGGCACTTTCGTGCAAACCCAAATTCTGGAGATGAGGCTATGAGATAAGTGAGAACGTCGTTTAACTTAGCTACCAGATTGAAAAATGCTATTCGCAAAGAACGATAGAGAGCTCTTCAAATCCCACCCTTCTTGGTGCAATTTCCCGCACAAATTGCGCCTTCTCACACGCCTAATGAATTGCCTTGTTGCACAAGAGACCTGCCGGGTTTGATTGGAGCTGGAAGAGAACTGGAAGCAAGAGAATCCTCTTCAAGTTGCCCGGATTTCAAAACCTGCAGCTAGGCCAGAGAACTCAGTGGGAGATCCAAGCGGGCATGTCGAGGGCACTCCTAAGCTGAGGCAGAAAAATTCTGAGCGCATAATAGAACTTGAAGAAGACTGTCCTCCCTCGGCTGCCGACCGACCGAGCTAGGCAGACCGCCGACTGAAAGAGGCAGCCTGGAAGCTCAACAGAACTGTCTCGACTGAGTGAATCCGGCAAGGTCTCATCACGATCATGACCAGCAACACATGTACATGTCCTGGAGCGCAGGGCCAGGTGTACGTTCTGTTTTGTAACTTCCAAAAACCAGAATTAGATAGTTGAATCCCCGTTGCACCCCGATTGTGACACAGAGCATGCTTTGCTGTCCGATAAGAGTGTCTGTGGGCGAGCAGCAATCTGTAGAAAAATCTCCCGTCTTTCAACACTCGAACGGGGCGGGGGCGGGGGCGCTTGACAGGCTTCAGGGAAGAATGAAGGAATCGGATGATCAATAATGTCAGGGAGGGCAGCGTCCGAAAGAACTGGCACAAATCCGCAACCCGTCTCGGGCCAGGACGAAGGATGTCGTAGAAGGAGGAGGAGGCCAAGGATCAAAATTGAGAAAGCGGCGAGAGAGTCGAAAGCAGAAACGGCCAAAAACGACAAAGTCTTAATGAATCGAAATTTGAAGCTCCGACGCTGCGATGTGGGTACACCGCATTCACGTACAAAAGGCCCGCTTTTCAGGATTAACCCAACTCCCGATCTCCCACTTCCGACGACCCGTTCGCTTTTACTCCGAGATACCCGTCTTCCGTGCTGGCCAGTCGGCTGGCTACACGCTAGCGCATGCAGGCAGTCATCAGCAGCAGCAGTGGCAGTGGCAGTGGCAGCAGCAGCGGCAGCAGAAGAGAGAGCCGCCACATTCAGCAAAATGCTCTGGCGAAGAATTGCGAGAGCGCAGGACTTCAAACTCTTCGCGTCATGCTCATGGCAGGCGAACACGATAAACCGCCAAGTGATCTGATTGCAGATCCCACACTGCGCAACATTCCAACGACCGCGACGTCCCCCAAGAATTGCGGAGGGATGTGACTTGACATCCACAACGCACACCACGAACGAACCAATTATTCAAAAATGTAACAAACATGTAGCCTGAAGACGCCTTCTAAAAAAACTTCCAAACCGCACCATCCTCCATCATCCTCCTCATCAGCAACAATCCCCGTCCACTTCCTTATCTTCTCCGCCTACTCCAACTCCCTCTCGTCCCTCTGCCTCTGTGCCTCAGTGTCCGCCTGTCCTTCGTACATGCATTCCCGCATTCCTTCCTTCCTTCCTCGCTTCAATCATTCGTTCCCTCCCCTCCCTCAAGCGATCTATGCCCAACTCCTTCCTTCCGTCCCCCCGTCCCCCCCCCTGTCTCGACTTTCCTGCCCCTGCCCCTCCCTCTCCCTCTCCCTGGACCCTTCTCCTTCGTCTCCTCTGTACTCTGCTGCTGCTGCTGCTCTTTCCGTCATCATCAACAACAGCATCATCATCATCATCGTCATCACCATCACCATAACGCTCTCTCTCTCTCTGTCTCTCGCGACTCTACTCTCGGCCCTCGGCCCTCGGCCATGCCAGTCCCACCCCCTGCTGCCCTGCCATTCCGACCTTTCGGACGGACCTCGGTAAATTTCTCCCGAAAAGGAAGATGCCCCTCGGATACTAGACGGGTATGAAGCGTGCCCGGCCCAATGGTGTTTAGGTTAAAAGCAGAGGAGTTATCCACGTGGAGAAGAGCCACCTAGCTGGCGGGCATTCGTCCAACCTTTGGCACGCGGCCTCGGGTAAAATGCTGACATCCGCTGACTCTGCCTATCCTACGAGGACAACAGTTTCTTTTCACCGTCAGATTCCTCCATCGGACGGACTCGGACCAGTCCTATTGTGGGGCTTTTTCCTCCCCCAAGGCCAGCGGACATCCGACAAAGTCATGTGGTCCGGCCTCCGGTCCTCCTTCGGCAGCCCCCCCCTGCCTCATTAGGAACGGAGTTATCCACTAATGAACTCCTGGTACCGTGGACTCTCTTGCGAAGCTCCCCGTTGCGGATTAGAAGCCTCGTACTTCCAATCTTGTCTTCTCATCCCGATCTCGCCGACTTGTTGCCGACCACGCCGTCACTCCATCCATCATGATCCCATTAGTAGGTGAGAAGATTTCGAGCTCAGTGCACTCAAAGTATACATTCCTATCCTTTGTAAGATTTACAATATGTATATTTCATCGTCTTAGCTAAATGAACAAGTACTGATTTTTTTATAAAGATATGTCTTTGATTTCTAATTCTAAAAAATCCAACACGTTTGCATTCGTTTTATTTCATTTGTTTCGTTTGATTTTTATTCACCTTATAGTTGTGTAATTAACTACAAAATGAAAAAATCTATTTCATTTGTTGTGGAATTAACATAATGATAATCGCTTAAAATTTATTTATATAAAATCATCATGATGCAAGTAGTAAGTTATTTATTTAAATGTAAAATTAAATATTTATTTATTTATTAAAAATGAATTAAAAATTTATTTATTTTTACATCTAAATATCAGCATGTTTTCAGAAAAAATCATATGGATTTTTTTTTAGAAAAATCAACATGATAGGAAATATCATTACTTATCCATTAATACAAATCATTATTCATCTACAAAGTTATATTCAACTCTCACAAGCTAAAATTTATCCTTATTTTTGCAAAATTGTGAAAAACAAAACAAAACATATAATCAAATAATTGCATCAATTTTTATGAGGTATTTTGAGTTTGTTGAAACAATTATTAGATGTAAATCCACCAAAACGCAAAACATTTGTTGCGATCCAAACTGATTTATGTTACAAGATGTAATACTAGATAACTTTGCAAGATACCATCATCCATGTTTCAATACAAGTTTTGGGCTAGGTACAACTCATTTTAGATGAAGGTTTCAGTGGACGTCATGCACCTTACATGCAAACAAACTACTATCCAACAAAACTTCTGAAACGTCCTCAAACTCTAATGAGTAAGAGCTTGAAACTTCAAAACACACCAACAACAAGCAGAAACAAAGAGTTTGAAGGAATTGAATAGTTCGTGAAACAAAATCTTTTTGATTACAAAGAGTTCTCAATTTTGATAGCTACAATAAATCCCCTTAACAATCAGATGACGATAAGAAATAAGACAAAGAGCATGATCTGAACTTCAGTTTAACAATGTTAAGGTGTGCATGACAATTTTGATTACACTGCTAGCTACTTCAAATCGCATTTTGTCATAATTAAAAATTGACTCTATAAATGTAATGAACAAAATGCATCATATATATCTACTTGTATTATGTACGTGCTATGATTGTGTTGTTGATCTAATGCATTTCAGCCTCATGGTCAAAGTAATACCGTGATATTACTTTGAACAACAACAATCTGGCTACATACACTCATATTGATACATTGGTGACATTGGTCTACAACTCCGACATCTCATCCGATTATACAAATCGTGTTAGATCCTATCAAATGTTTTGCATTTTGTAGTGATAACATCAAATAAATTTTTGTATTTTATTCTTAAGATCATAATCAATGTCTTGAAATTTCAAGATCTGTGTTTTGATAGAATTATTTCATTTTTTTGCAAAAAAAAATTTAATTAAAATGGATGAAAGAGTATCATTCAAACATTTTTATATTTTTAGCATTAAAAATATAAATAAATTTTAATAATATCAAAAAATTGAACATTTAGATATAATTCAAATATTTATAAATTATATTCTATTTTTGATTTATGTATACATAGTCATAAAGCATAATCATAATCAATAATTTATCTAAACATACATTTAATTAATTTAATTACTCATTTTATGTGATTACATCATTAATACAATTATATATCATGCATCAAATCAAATAAACATCACTCATGTAGATTTATAAATACTTGATTATTAAGATTTTTATCCCAATGGATTTTGTAATTTATGAGACACATGTGAGTATTTTAAATCTAATGCTGAATATATCATTTGTGTTGAGGTTAACTCTGGTAAGGAGTTAACTAAGGTTAGTTAACCAAGGTTAACCGCATATGTAGCTATTTATAGCCTAGAGTGGTTGACAACCTGGGGTATATATATCCTCCTGATGATAAAAATACTTTCACTTCAAGTATTCAAGTAGTAAACTCTCTAGTGTATTCTTCCGTGGACGTAGCCCCTAAGGGTGAACCACATTATACGTGTGTACTCTTGTATTTCTTGTATTGTTGGATTGGTTAAATGTGTCAATATAATTCTTGTGTTTGCATTTACAATTGGTATCAAAGCTGGGTCTGTAGATTACTAAAAGCATTGTATGGACTGAAGCAAGCTCATAGGCAGTGGAATACACGTTTTGATGAGTTTATGAATACACAAGGTTTCCTAAGAAGCGTGTATGATCCTTGTGTCTATATGAAGATAATGTATAATGAGACTTTCAATCTCATCCTTTTAGTACTCTACGTTGACGACATGCTTATCTTGGCAAAAAACCAATCCGATGTCGATGAATGCAAAAGTCATCTGAAGTCTGCATTTAAAATGAAGTATATGAGGAAGTCTAGGAGGATACTAGGCATGGATATTTATAGAGATTTTGAATAGAAGAAGCTATGGCTGAGTCATGGCAAATATGTTCTCTGTATACCTGACAGGTTGAACATGGCCGATTCGAAAGGAGTATAGACTCCTATGCCGGCACATTTTAAACTCTCCGCAGCCCAATGTCATACAGATGCTGTGGAAAAGGGAAGAATGTCATGTGTTCCCTATGAACAAGTTGTAGGCAGCCTCATGTATTTAATGGTGTGCACTAGGCCTGATATTGCTCTAGCAATGGGGAAGATGAGCAGGTACATGTCGAATCTAGAGAAAGTTCATTGGGAAGCAGTGAAATGGTATCTGAGATATCTGAAGAGTACTGTGGATTATGGCTTATTGTTTGATGGCTTATTAGACAATGCCAAGTCCTTGTTTGGCTACGTTGATGCTGACTACGGACAAGATTTAGACAAGAGTAGATCTACAACTAGATATGTGTTTACACTTGGCGACGGAAGCATTAGTTGGAGATCTACCTTGCAGAAGTGCGTATAGCTTGCTCTTGCAGTTCTTGTTACTCAAGAACTTGCTCCACATGTATCGGTGCTTCTTCATGTGACAGAACATTAGTAACAGAATGATCAAACTCCTCCTCAACAATATCTATGAGTAAAGATTTCCCCTTGTTAGGCTCCACATATTTCACAAAGATTTTCACTTTTCATTCAATATAAATTTACAATAAAATTCAAGTATATGCTATGAAGATATTGATTGATAGAATGTTAACTTGATGGAAAAGAAGTATAAGACATCAAAAGATGCTCATCTTGCATACGACCATTCACTCAAAATATGGCATGAAAGATTGACACATCCTTATGATTCTAATATGAGGATGGCGGTGTGAATTTATCTAATAATCATTACAATTTTGTGATTCTTGTGCTATAAGTTAGTCATAAAACACTAACCTATAGCACAAAAGACACCTTTACCTAAGAAATCATGACAATCGTTAAAAGTCATACATTTGTACTATTTTGATCCAAAGACTTACAAAAACATACAAGAAAAATAGTATTTACTTACTTTCATTGATGCTAAAGTTAAAAGAATATGTTTTATTTGTCAACTTACGAAATATTTTCAAAGATGCTAGAGACTTAAACACGGAAAATAAAACTACGGTCGGTTAGAGTCACAGATTAGATGAATCTCAAACATCTGAGTAATGATATTTTCATGAATATGAAGGCAAGAGCTAACAAGACACAAAAAGAAATTGCAAAAAAATTAATAAAGACATTTATGTACAAAGATTATGAGCATGATAACTAAGGTTAATCTCAAGATGAAATTTACTGAAAATTAAAAAATATGTGTAAGTAATCTAAATCGACAGTTTACTTTACATTAATTATATGAAACTTTTTCTCTTCTATATTTTTTATATAAGATAAAACTAGTTTTAAATTTTGAGGAGATTTTTTAAGACCGCCAGTTAAATACAAAGTAGAATTCCTACTTCAAGGTTGAAAGATATCATAACAGAGGAAGCATGTATCGATTGGAAAAACTTGATGTTACAATGTTGAGAGTGAATGGATGTTCCTAAATCAAAATAGCAAAAGAAATTGGGAATAAAAGGTTCAAAATTCATTTTCATTGATTATGAAAAATACTTTAAAGAGTATGTCTGGTTCAATCTAAAAATAAATATAACACTTTGGATGAATACTATATGACGAGTTAAATACTTGGATAAATGACAAAAGTCTGTTGCAACTGCTATATCTGTTATAATACATGCTATT